GCCCCCCCGCCGCCTCAGGCCTTGTCGCCTCAGGGGATGGTGGGGGGGGAAGCTTCTGAGCGCTGAGGTGCCCCTGGGCTGCGAGGAATAGGCCGAGGGTCGCCATCTGAGGAGCGGGCCGCCGTGAAAGGGGGGATACCCCCCCCTTTCCGTGCCCCTGGGTCGGGGCTGGGGGTCCTGCCTGCCTGAGGGGCCGTGAGGGGCGGAGGTGAGTGTAGCGGGGCTGCAGCGTTGCTCTGCGCCTCCAGGCTTCTCTCCTGTGTGTGGAAAGGGAAGTGGGGTGCACCCTGGAAGCAGCGGGGAGGTGTGTTTCCAGCTCTTGGAGGAGCTTAGTGATGCCAGACCCGGTGGGGTTACTCCCTCGGAGACCACCGTCAGAACTCTGGCCTTTCTGGCAGCAGGGGCTTCGGTTGGGGGATGCTTGTGCTTATCTGCCTCTTTCCTACCTTTAAATTAAATTAAAACACAAGACCAGGCTGGATGGGGCTTTGAGCATTACCATTAAATTAAAATACAAGGCCAGGCTGGATGGGGCTTTGAGCAACCTGGTCTGGTGGGAGGTGTCCCAGCCCAGGGCAGGGGGGTTGTAACTCGATGATCTTTAAGGTCCCTTCCAACTCTAACCATTCTATGATTCTATGAAAATTTTTTTCTACTTTATGAAAACAGTGTATTACCCGGTTGATGATTAGATATTTTATAGAGTTGAGAGCACTGCCCTTTGGGGATCTAACAGCTTTTCCTGTTAAATGAGATAAATTCAGCGTAGAAAGATCCCCACCTTTAGACATTTTAGGAGTTTTTCCTGCTTTAAGCATGTTTATTTATTTATTTTTTTTAAATGAAGCCACACTGTGTTGTGGTTCTACCCACTTGCAGTTTTGCAAGGAGTGTTGGAGCTCACTCTAACGATGATAACCGTGGAGGGGAGGGTGTGCTGGAAAGTCCAGGAGGGGAAGTTAAAACAGTAGCCAGTTTTTCTATCACTTGCACAATTTGCCCGAGACAAAACTAAGACTTAATGTTCTTTCTGCTGTATTCCTTGGGATTACTCAGGGGTGTTGCACATGAGCAAAGCCAGACCTGCAGGTTGCCTCTTGCATCTGCTGGCTCAGAGAACCTCTCTGTTTCTCACTGGTGGAAGCTCACTGCGGGGTGAGCTTGGTGATGGTTTGGGGGCACACAGGGCAACCTCGTGCTCCTGAGGTTGGCTAATGTGGCAAAGCTGAAGGGGCTGTGAGGGTGTGTGATGCCCCGCTGATGATGCCTGCTGCAGAAGGAGCTGCTGCAATAGCAAATGCTCCAGTGATTGTTGGGCGTCGGGCAGCTGGAGGGGCGTGAGGAAATTTGCTGTCAGTAATTCTTTATTTCATTTGGTCTGTCCTTTGGAAACAGGGAAGAATCGGAGGCTGAAGCAGGCCAAAGAAGAAGCCCAGGCAGAGATTGAGCAGTACCGCCTGCAGAGGGAGAAGGAGTTCAAAGCCAAGGAAGCAGCGGTTTGTTTTCTAGATCGTTCCCTGTTACCTGCCCAGAGCCTTAGCCTTGTGTTTGGGATTACTTGCCCTGAGAGCAGCCCTCGGGGTGGGACGTGTTGCCAGAGGAGTACTTCCCTAACTGCCTTCCTCTGATGCACAGCCACGTGTCATGGGGGGGAAAAAAAAAGTGGAAGTGAATCAGAACATGGTGTATTGCATCTCAACAGCCAGAACTATTGACCGGCAGCGAATTAGCTTAATAAGCTCGTGTACTGTCTGGTGCCCTGATGGGTGGTGGCCTCTCGACCAGTATGTAGCAGTGTCAAAACCAGACCAAGCTCATTCCTCCTGTGACAAGCTGGTTTCTGCGATGCTAACGTAGGAACCGCTTGCCTTGTAGATGCTGTGCTCTTGCTGAAGCGGTTGTAAGGCCTGTGTTCTGCTCAGAGGTCTTGTCTGCTCCATCCCAAGGGATGTGTGCTCCTTCTGAGCAAGGGGAGAAATTCCTAAAATGTGCACAACTGGGACCCTTCACCTGCCGAGGGCTGTAGCATAGTCAGGATGTTTCCAGTGCCTGAATGGCCCTGTCAGTTCTGAAACGTTCAGAAAATGACCTGGCAACCCTCCCCTCTATCTATGGTCTGCTAGCAAAATACCACCTCCTCTGTTCTGCTGCATGTCAGTAGGTCTAGGTTAATATTTTTACAACCACTTGTTAGCTTGGTTCACTAGGTATGTGGTACCAGGCAATTCCAGGTTGCTTCTGGGGCAAGAATGGCATTATAAAATGTGAGAAACTCCTAGCTGTGCACATGCATGGCCCACGGCCCTTTGAGGAAGGCAGAGATTTTTATAAAGATTGTTCAAAGGTAGAAGGGATGATCTGAAGGCTGCACTTAAACTAAATCATGAATACAACTTCTCTTACACTATTTAGTACAGTAGTGCCCAGGGGTTCCAGATTCCAGTCACCAGTAGAGCAGCACCTTTTATGTCAGTCATTCTTTGCTCTGTGCTCTAAATTGGTAGATTGTGAAGTCTACGCTCTAAAGTGATAGATAATGAATAAGAGAGGATAAAAGGCATGGCTTGGGGGTGAAATACAAACTTGGGCAAGTTTAGTGGGAAATCTGAGCAGAGAATCCAACAGCACTATTTAATATTTATAGTGCAGTTCCTCCCTCAGCAAAGAGTAATGGTTGAGATGCAGTGAGACACTCCAGAAGAACAAAATACAGAGCTGGGCAGAGTGTTCTCTGCGTCAAACTGCTCACGTGTGAGCTTTCTCTTCCCTTCACTGTTCCTAGGCGCTTGGATCTCATGGCAGCTGCACCACTGAAGTCGAGAAAGAGACCCAGGAGAAGATGAGTGTGATCCAGCAGAACTTCCAGAAGAACCGGGAGGTGGTCCTCTCCCAGCTGCTGTCACTAGTGTGTGACATCAAACCCGAAATCCATGTGAATTACCGCATCAACGGGTAGTAGGGGAAGAAGGAATGAGCATACTGGGAATGCTGGTAGTAACGTCCGAGCTTCAGGTGGAATGTACAGCTCTTAGCCATACCTTAATTAACTGTTCTTCTTGTAAATGTGGTAAATTATTTCAGTGAGTTGTAAGTCATTGGTATCTTGTTGGAGTTCTCTTAGTTTCTCTCTTGACACACGGATTCAGAGCTTATTCAAACGTTAAATGCCCATGTCTCAAATCTGTGCTAAGTTATTAAATATATATTCCAGTTGGCACAGTCATGCTCCCTGTTTATCTGGATAGTATTCAGTGAGGGGCTTTCCTGGAGGAAGCAGAGAGAGAGGTGCTGGCCAGGTTGAAGTGGAAAGCCTGTGTCAGTCATTGTTAGACCTGTGTAACTGTATTCTTGTTGACCAAAATGCATTTTTCAGTGTGGTGTTAACCTTCGTACAGGGGGCTAAACCTTGTAAGAAGAATTCTCTGGCTGTACAGTGCTGGCTGATGATTTTTCAGGTGCTTGAGTTTCTCTGTACTGAATCTATCCTCTGTATATTCTGCTCTTAGCTTGAGTTACAAGTCTGGCACTATGACACTTGAAAAGTAAAAACACTTATTTAACTTCGAAGCCTCTAGTCAAGTCTTCTTGTTCCTGCTAATTCTGTCTGAGGGGGCTGAAAGGTCTCACTGTGTTGTGTGGGAGGCTGGACTCTGAAGAGTGAATACCAAGTACTGACAAAAGAAAGAGTAAGAGATCCAGCAAATGTCTGAAGGTCGCAGCAGGTGAGTTAAAAACCCATTACAGAGCTCCTCCTCTTGGCTCTGGTCTGGTGCTTTACCTGCCAGATCATTCTGAAAACCTTCAGGAGCAAATGATCTTGTGACCATTAGGGGAAATAAAACATTGCCAGATCACTAGAATAGTTTGATAGCCAGGCGCTGTGCAGTAATTATCCTTCCTTTAGTCAAATACTGCACTGCTTGTTTATTCCAAGGTCAGGCTGTTCCCTCCAGCATCCTGCTGTACCCAGGAACGGTGTGAAACAAGTGTGGTGGGATTGTGCATCACTTTCTGGCTCTTTAATCAAAAGTACACATGAATACATCAAGAGGCTTCATGTTTCAGTGGTTTCTTCCTCTCTCTCTCTCACCAGCAGAATATTAAATGTCGCTTTGCTTTTTTGTTGAGTTCAGTTGAAGACGTTCTGCAGAAAAGAGATGGCAATGAGCTCGTACCTCATCAGCAGTTGGGGAATCTAAGCAAAAAAAAAACCCCTTATGGATGCTGTTCTTTCAGACAGAACATCTGTATTGATTTCCCCACAGCCTCAGTGTAGCATGGAAAAGCCTCTCAGACCTGTGGAGTGTGTGATGGGGAGGGAGGGAAGCGGGATGGGTGGGGGTTGTAACACAGGAATGAGTGCCTGCCTGCAGTCACACGGGGCAATGAAAGCATAGACAGCTACGGTGTCTCCTCTTGGAATATTTTATGGTGGTGTACTGTCGTTCTGAAAGGAGCTCTTTAGGAATTCAAGCTATTAAACTGGTTGTAAAATTGAAACAAAAGCCTCTTTTGCAAAGTCAAATGTGCCAGGCTGGGGAAAAAGCCAGGTCGGTACAAGGAGAACGGGATCAAAGCAGTTTAAATCAGCCTGGTCTGATGATGAGAGGTGCTGTGGCCTCATAAAAGGTTGCAGCCGTGCTAATTCCAGTCTGTCCTTAGGAAAAGAAACATTTCCTGTTGAGAGCAGGTGCTCAGGCTCCAGCATGATGCTCCTGATAGATGTCCTCCTAGCCCCAGGCTGCAATTAGCAATTTCCTCCTGTTTATGGGTAACAGACTGCTTCTCTGTCCAGGAAAAAACATAGTGTGCGCCCCACTTTCTCGTGTTGGTTCCTAAGTTTCCCTTTGTTAATGAGGACTTTCTATCCTTGCTCTCTAGAGCAGTAAGAGGCAGGAGAAAAAAAAACACCCTTCCCTGATTCTTTCCTCCTGGCAAAAAGTGGTGTGAAGACGCTCCCTTTAGAATGTTATGTTGTAAGAATATCAAATTTTCTGTAATATTTCCCTGAAACTCAACTGTTTAGAATTACCAGACTCTCTAACTTTGCACAGAAGTGAGTGTTGCCAGTGGCTGCTCTCCAGGAAGGCTGGCTTTGTTGGCAATGTAAATGTTTTGTTTCAAATTGAGATCCTCTCCCCTTCCACTGTGGTGCTCTGGGAAAGGGAGACCTCCTGTGACCTTCGTGCCTGGGCCAGAAGAATACTCTGCGGGGAACAGTTTTCTACTGAGGAAGGTTTGGAGTTGGACACGTGGCTTCTTGCCTCTGAAATCTGATTTTTCTAGACTTTCTGCAGCAAGTTTGACTAGTAAGAGTGAAACCTACCCCAGCTGGTGGTACAAATGTCTCTGAATACTTCTGCTGCTGAGCTCCATAATTCCTTGTGGATGTGACCCTGTGTATATGAGCCACACTTGTAGCACAGAAAGGGCCAGAACCTGCTTTGGGCACATCTATCGTTGTGTGATTCCCTGAATTTGAGCTCTTGTGCCTGGAAACACCAGCTGACTGCTGGGATGGGGGGACTCCTGGTGCTGTGTGGAGGTAAGAAGGGGTCAGTGCTTCCTTTGATGTTGCAGGAACAAAACCAAGCCACGAGTGGCTGCTGCTGTGGATTTCTCCCAGTGAAAACTGCTTGGAAATAAGCACTTTTTCCTGGGATCGACGCAGACGTTAGGAGTTACACCGTGCTATTTGGCTCCGGTCGTATCCCTGTTCATCAGCTGTGGCTTCTACTTGATTTTTGTGGGACATTGGGCTCTTAAAATGCCACCAAGAAGGTGTGTCATCTGGACAAGCCACAGATGGACAAATGGCTTCTTAACCCCCGGGTGTGAGTGTCGTCGGGGTGTAGGAGCATAACTGGGACACACGTCTGTGCTGCTTGAAGCCAGAGTTCAATTTTTAGGGCCAGTCTCTGCTGATGGAGCTCTCTCCCCTCTTGGCTCACACTGTTTGCTCTGAAGGTTGGGGTCTCCTTCCTGCTGCCTGTTTCAGCCAGGGGTCAGAGAGCTCAGAGCCCCTCTGGGAGGGGGGCAGAGGGGAAATCAAACCCCCCCATCCTGCTCAGATCCACCACCTCTGCTCTGGGTAATGGTGCTGGGTATTTTTTTTGGTCCGTTCAGAGCCAGTACAGGTTTGATCCCCTGTGTATTTGTTGTGATTAAATCTAAAAACATGCAAGAAAGGTCTAGTGATGGTCAGGAGGGATGAAATGTCTGCGGGGGGGTCCCTCCCCACTCATTCCCAGCCGGGGCTGCAGGCAGAGGGCAAGACAGTGCTGGTGCTGGGAGAGTCGTGCAATGGCAGGGGAGCGTGCTGCTTAGTCCTGTGACATAGGAACTATCATCATTTAATTATTTTTATAGGAGCATTTTCTGTGATATTTAATGTGTAATGATTTTTTTCTGTTTGTTGCAGAGAAAGTGATTTTTCTCCTCCAAAGATCCACCCCCCTTGCCATTTTTCCCTTTCCTCCTTTTCCATAGTCCAAACAGAGGTATGAAGGAGGGGAATCACCCCCACCCCTCTGTCTGGACTCCAGGAGTTGGAGAGAGCTTCTGTTAAGAGGAGAACATTTTTGACTGCTGGTGCTTTATCACAAATTCCCCTGGCAGGTTGATCAGGATGGTTTCAGAACAGTGAGAGAGGACCCTGAATTTCCCCAGAGCCGTGGCTACTGCTGAAGATGGATGAGCCGTTCCCTGCTCTGCCCCATGGAGACAGGCTGCAGCTGGACAGTAACACAAATGAATCATTCAAGGTATTCCAGTCCAAATTTGGCAACCTTAAATTCCTCATTCTGCTTTCGTGATGTCCCTACACGATTCCTGATGATCTTTGATGAAGCTGGGGCTTTGGGCTCCTGCTGTTTTCCCCACCTGAGCCCCAGAGCAAGCAGGGCTCGCTGGCAATAAGTAACCCCACAGAAAAGGCAGCAGCTCCTGGGGTGTAAGGCAGCTCGTGGGAGGTATGAACAGTGAGATGGGGTGTCCCAGCAATAGACAGGCTTGGTCTTATAAAAACACACCCTAATTTTAACTCACCTAAATACTCTTCTGTTCTCTTGCCATCTGGTGTACCCTCACACAGTCCCTTCTGTAGGTTACTGCATAAAAACAATGCCATTCCTTTCCCTTCTGTATAAAACCTGCTCATTTTTCCTCTTTGTCCCTGTTTTCCTCACCTGGAATCTGTTTCCCTTTTACCTGACATCACTGGTTCTTGCGTTAATCCATAATAAGAAAGACAAGCCTAGAACCCACTGATGCCAGCAGAGGTATGGGATACTTCAAATCCTTCAAAGTACTAAGAGAAAACACTATCAAGGACCCTCAAGATAACTGTTTTGTTGAAGAAGTTCCTCAAACTAATCCAAGAAAGGAACACAGTGTAATTTTTCTTAGAGGTTGAAAGGAGAAAGTCCTAATTTCATGCAGAAAAGATTTTTATCTGGGACTGGCATAGGCATAGAAAATAAATAGGTATTAAATTACATTCGGCTGTTTCAAAATAATCTAATAAAGCATCTGCTGGATCAATAGCTGAATCATTATCCAAGGCACATCACAAGCTTTCCCTTTTTTAATTTGAGATGCAAGAAAGAGGTCTTTGCATTACCATAATAAAAAGAATAATACTTTAAGTCTTCACAGGAAAAAGGCAGAAGTAGAAGGGAAAAAAAAAAAAAACCAACCAAGAACCACATTTTATGCCTTAAGCAAGTGTCATTTTTCATTTGAAACACGTAATTTAGGGATATTGTGAAATAAAGTTTTTATATTTAATGACTGTCAATCTGTCAGCTTTGCTGAGCTGTTTGACAAAAAAAAAAATCACCCAGCCCAGAGTCTGTGAAAGATGAATTTTTGTGCAGGAAGAGAGGGGAAGGGTGAGACAAGGCTTTCAACTACTTTGTTCTCCTAATTAAGTCTTGCTGGGAAAAAAAAATGTTGATGGAACAGTTACCCACTGAAAATGCAGCTTCATCAAAAGAAAATGAGATGTGTCTGCGTTGGCTGCTGCTCACTGCTGCAGCGTGCAGGGACTTGGGTAGGGAGAAACTGCTGCTGGATGGAGATCCCTGCAAATGAAGGAGGGAGAACAGTGAGGTGTTATCAGCCTGTCAAAAAAAAACCAAACCAAAAACCAAAACCGTACTAAATCATGGAATAAATATAGAGATACAATGTGGTCTTGGGAATTAGACTAGGAAAAAGCAGCCTAATGAGAATTTGTCTCTGTATTTAAAGCAGTGGGAGTGGTGAAGAGTGATCTCAGAAATCATAGAGTTACAGAATGGTTTAGGTTGGAAGGGATGTTAAAGCCCATCCAGTGCCACCCCCTGCCCTGGGCAGAGACACCTCCCACCACACCAGGTTGCTCCAAACCCCCTCCAACCTGGCCTTGAACCCCTCCAGGGATGGGGCAGCCACAGCTTCTCTGGGCAACCTGGGCCAGGCTCTCACCACCCTCACAGCAAAGAATTTCTTCCTAATACCTCACTTAAACCTCCCCTCTCAGTTTAAAACCCTTCCCCCTCATCCTTTGGTTCCACTCACTGATC